CCTTTCTCTCTTCTCCTTTGTGTTTCCATCCCTTTCTCTCTTCTCCTGTGTTTCCATCCCTTTCTCTCTTCTCCTTTCTCCTTCCCTCCCTTCCTCTATTCTCCTGTGTGTTTCCATCCCTTTCTCTCCAAACGGGAAGGCTTCCCGTTCCTCACCGGCTGGTAATTGATAGCAGGGCTCATGTTCGGCGTGTTGCTGCGGATCAGGCCTGGTTTGGGAGGGATGCGCTGCCCTTGAAGCTGTGTGGGGTTGGGGGCAATAACCCGCTGGGATATAAGCATGTGGGGAAGGGCGGTATTGGTGGCCGATCGGATGACACTGTGACCCTGAGAAAGAGGAAGGTTAAGTCTTTAAAAGAGCCGGACGGCGATCGCTGGGATAGTTTGCCAACTTCCCGCTCCAACTTAGCGATGCCCGGAGTTGCCCATCCCAAATCTACCCAGGCTGGACCCCGCTTAGTCATCCACCTGGCTTTCTCGCCCAAGGCGGGACTAAAATTCGCCGCCTCCTGCTTCCTAGCGTGGTGCCCTCACCACTAGACCAAACTGTCTCTCCCAGAATTCCCTGATGTCAGACGAGGACTATTCGTCTTTATATTCTCGTCCCTTGGGCTTCTGATTTTTCTGGGCACGCCCATCTCTGATCCGTTGTCAGGATTCCGGCAGTTACCCGCCAATTAAATTATCTTGAGCCAAACTTCCCAATGATTTATTGGGAGTTAATATGCCGGCACTGCCTGGGTGTAGCCGACTCCACGGACACGTCATTCGTTGTCGCCCTTGATCCTGGTTTCCTCCCCCGCCCTCTGGGTGTATCATACCCAGCGTGACCTTCAACGGGTGAGGCCCTACGTGGAGCTACGCCGCTTCGGCAACTCAACGAAACAAGCGGGTTCCCAGGGAATTTGCTCTGCGCTGATTTGGACCGATTTCATGGGGGTGCGAGATAAGGCAAGGTATATAAAACACACGCACATAATCGGACACCGTCGGTGACCGAGCTCTGAAACTTGCAAAAGGCCTTTTGCCCTGGTTAAGGTAACCAGGTTTCCGCCGCTCGTTTCACACCGTGGCAAAACGCGCCCCAGAGCCTACACAACTGCCCTCCCTCGACAAGGCGCAGCGGATTCACGTTTGGGGGAAGAGATTCCCTTACCTGTAATGTTCTGAGGTTTTGGGGCTCAACCCCTTGAACTCCAGGTCGGGAGGGGAGTTTGGACAGAGCCTGCTGTCCGACGTGGGCAGGAGATGGCTGGACTATAGAGGCTGCGTTCTGGACAACCGGAGTCTGGCCGCCGGGCGGAAAAGAAAGAGGGACGAGAGAGAGAGAATCGATGAGAAAGGTTGTCGATTGAAAATGAAAGGGGGAACGTTTTTCGGACGATCTTTCAAGAAAATAGATGTTTTTCCTGATCGGCTCGCCAGGGAGGGGACAGGGGGGGATATCCTACCCACCTGGCCGGGGAGGATTTCCCTGAGAAAGTAAAAGTTGGGTGTCCACGCGGTTTTCGGCTAAACAGGGGCTCTCCAAACTTATAAGACTGGTGGACTTCAACTCCCAGAGTTCCTCAGCCGGCATGGGGTAAACTGGGAGTCGGGAGTCCACCGGGCTTCTTCCGGAGAGGTTACCGGCGCTCGCCTGCCTCACCTTCTGTATTACATTCTCCTTCTGCAGTTGGCTTTGCCGTAGTTTCTTCAACAGCACCAGCCGGGCTTCCTCTAACCGCAACTCGTCCCGGAGCTGTTTGATGAGCTGCTGCCTCTCCTCGACCCCTTTCCCCTGTGGGGAGGGAGACCAAGAGGTGAGGGTGGAGGGCGACCTTGCGGCAGGACTCGCTCAGCTGGGACCCCCCCCCGGGTCTCCCCGTAGCTCAGGGGTCCCCAAACCCGGCCAACTTTGAAGACTCGGGGACTTCAACTCCCAGAATTCTCCCCAGCCAGCATAGCTTACTCTCTTGCAATCCCTTCCTCTGCAATTTCTCTCCACTTTAGGAGGTTAAGAGAGAGAGAAAAAAAGGAGAATTCTGGGAGTTGGAAGTCCGCAGGTCTTAAAAAGCTGCCAAGTTTGGAGACCTCCACCTTAGCTGGTTTTAAGACACTGATGTGTCCTGGGAACCCAACCCGACCCGACCCGGGGAAGCGCCTTGGGCAAGCCGCAACCTTCCGGTCGCTCTGGCGAACCCCGCTTCGTTGGGTTTGGTTCTGTCCCCTTTGCTGTACCTTGAACATTTCCAGGTTGGCTGCTTTCAGCCGCTCTTCTATGCGGGAATTGGAGCGAGGGCTGGAGGCTTCGTTGTCGGAGAGGACGATGACGTCCGGAGAAGGGGTGAGACGGCCCCTGTCTTGATCGCTGCTGGTTTCAGGAAGGGGGAAGAAAAGCCAGATTGAGAGAGGGGTTGGTTGCGGGGGTGGTGGTCTGTTTTTTTTGGGGTGGGGGGGTGTGGGATGGACGGACCGGGAGACAAGAAGCTACCTGAAGGAAGTTGCCTTGTTACACAGCTGGACCCACTAAGGAGAAAGAGGTTATCGGAGCAGGGAAAGGGGTAGATTGTGTGACAACAAGGGACCACCCGGATTTGCAACGTTTCGGGACCCAACTAGGTAACAGCATCAGTGCTAGAAGGAGAGGGGTTTGCAGAGAGGAGGAGGAGGAGACCTGCGGGCTCCTTCCAGACATTTCATGACCCAAACTAGCTGACCTCATTCAGCTACACATTCTCTAAAGCCTGGCCCCATTCACATCCCTCCACCTCCCACCCACCCAGCCTGGGGGGGGGAGGTGTTTTGAGCCACGCTGGTGGGCGTTATACGGGCCATCCACAAACCAAGCCGAAAACTGCCTTCCTCAGAGTCAATAAAAACCAATTTTTGGCAAAGTCACCCAGCCCCTCGCCGGCCCTCAATTGCCGGTTGTCGGGGCTTTTTAAATAGCGTTTCCCGAGCTCCCATTTTCCGTCTCATCCCTGCTTTGATCTAGGCTGGTAGATTCCGTTGACTAAAAGCCCGTGTGAACAAATAGACTGTCCACCCACCCAGCCACCCACTCAACAGACAGCGAGTCACTGAAGGATTGGGGTTTTTTTTTAAAAAAAACTTTCTCTCTCTGGCTGTTTTTTTTAATTTTTTTTGGCCAAATCACACCCCCCAGGGCTGGGACTTAGGCTGTGGAACCCTTGGCGTGGCCTAGGCAAGGCCTGCAACTCGGTCTGGGCCCTTCCAAGTTTCAACTGCCCCCCCCAAAAAAGGAGGTTGAGGTTTTGGGGGGAAAAGAAAAAAAAAACCTGCAGAGAAGAGCTAACTAGGAGGATTAAAGGCCCGGAGAATAAAACATAGGAAGAAGGTTTGCAGTCTAAAGAAACGAAGGACTTGACAGCGGTCTTCCAGGATTTGAGGGGCTGCCCCGAGGAATTGGGGCGAGGGGGAGGTGTCAAGCTATTCTCCAAAGCACCAGAAGAAGGCAGGACGAGAAGCGAAGGATCTCCCGCTTGGGCGGGGGGGTTGGACTAGATGACCTACAGGGTCCCTTCCAACCCTGATTATCTGTTATCTGAGGGGCTGCCCCAAAGAAGAGGGGGAGAGGAAAGGTCAATTAATTTTCCAAAGCACCAGAAGGCAGGGCAAAGAAGCGAAGGATGGAAACTGATCGGGAGAGAGAAGCAACTTGGAATTAAGGAGAAGCTTCCTGACAGGGAGGACAATTAACCGGTGGAACAACTTGCCACCAGAAGTTGTGTGTGTGTGTGTGTGTGTCTGGGGGTGGGGGGGCTCCATCACTGGAGGCTTTTAAGAAGAGACTGGACAGTCACTGGTCTGAAACGGCACAGGTTCTCCTGATCGAGAAGGGGGCTGGACCAGAAGACCTCCAAGTGTCCCTTCCAAGTCTTTCGGATAAGACAGACGGGACTCAGATGAAAATCCGTCCTCGCGAAGGGGACTTGGGGGGTGGGGGGTGGGGATTCCTGGGCCGAACGCCCACGGGAGAAGCCCCGGAGTCAGAACGCCCGCGGATACCTCGATTCCGTGGCCATTTGGGCCCGCTGTGCTCCTCCGAGAGGAAGCGTCCGCAGAGAAGTAAGCCGAATTGTAGACCTGGGAGGAAGTCAATGGACACCAGTGGAGACGGACGGCCCCCTTCCGGTCGCTTGGAGACCGAGGATGCAACCTGGTCGCATTGTGACATCACACCCGGGAGGGGAGGGTCACAGGCCACCCAGGCAGGGGGTTTTGTGGGCCAAGGGACACCCAGACACCCCGCTCCCCGAGACCCACAAAGGCTGGAGCCGGGAGGGCTGGAAAGAGTTCTCACACCTCCCTCCACCTGGAGAAGGTTCTGTTCTCTAGAGGGAAGGAGGAGAATATGAGAGGGTCACCTGGGATGGTCAGTAAATGGCCCAGCCTGTCTCAAGAAGAGGTGGGAGGAAGGCGGGGGGGGGGCATGCTGAACTTTCGCAGGGGGAGAGGTCTAGCTGGCCAGGAGGCTTGGTTGAACCCGGAGGTCTTGGCTTCTTCTCCGTAACCGGGACCTTCTGTCCTTCAGGGTATGTGAGAAAGACCTTGGCAAAGGAATGCGGGCTAGGAATGAGTAGATAAGGGACGGCAGAGCCCAGAGCTGTCTAAGGGATGGAGAAAAAAGGACTCCGAAGGGACCTTCCCAAACTTCTGAAGCCGTAAAGGAAAGGGAGGGAGAACGGCAGTCTCAGGACTTGGGAGGTTCTGTTGACGTAGCCCTACAGCGAAGTAGAACTAGACCACGTCCTGCCTTGGTCTGTGTTTCAAGGCCCTGGGCTTGGACGGAAAGCCGGCATCTCGGCGTTCGAGGACTGAGCGCCATGGGATGGGGTGAGCTCCCATTCTCGCCGCAGCTCCTGCTATAACCGAGTAGTTCGAAAGCACGCGGATGCAAGTAGACCAACGGGTACCACTTCGGTGGGAAGCCAACCGCAGTGCGTGAAGTCGGGCTTGGCCACACGACCGCGGAGATCTCTTCGGACAGCGCTGGCTCAACGGCCTTCAAACGTCGAAAACCAACAGCGGAGGTAAAATTGACGTTATCTTTTGCTACCCGGGAAGGCTGCGAATGCGGGGGGGGAATACCTAGACGTTCGCCCCGCCTTCAATGAGGACCAACCCGATCCCCAAGTTTGGGTCGCGTCTCATAAAGCTCAACCCCCCCGTCTCAACTCTGCCCCCTCCTCACCCAAAAGGGCCCTATTGCAGCTCATAGGTTTCACGGACGTGTAGCTGAGCTGGAGGCACCTTCTGTTCAAGGTCAAGGAAAAAGAGAGAGAGAGAAAGAGAGAGAGAGGATGACCAACCAGCAGAGGCGGTGGGGCAGATGGCGAGCAGATGAGGCTGGCAAACCGAGCGAGATCCGAGGTGGTTCTGCCTTGGAGATGGTCCTCGCCCGCCTACGGCTGACAACTTGTCCCTTTGCCACTCGAACACGCGAGTGAGTCAGGGATTCACAGCTGATGCCCGGGATCCTGCTAAACCTTGGTCCGATGGATGCCTATCCCACCCCAGCACCCCGCATCGTGGTCTCGTAGCGTGGGTTCTTGTAGACCCCCCCCCGAGACTGAAAGTAGTACGTGTTATGGACCCCTGACCCTTCTTTGCTCTTCCTCCTCCTCTTCCTCCCTGTTAGGACCAGCGTTCGGGAGAAGATTAGAAGCTGGAAGAGTTGGACTCCTTCCAAAATAACGATGAGAATATCCAGCTCAGGAACAGATGCTTTCAGAAGCAAGTTATCTAAGGGAGAAGCAAGGTGTGATATCGCGGCATAAAAACCATCTTGGTAAACTACAGATAATTCTTGTCGTTTTTAACAGGGCAAAATGCTACCGTTTAATATACGGCGTTTTCTGGAAGGAGGCGAAACTTGCAGGAAACGTGGATCGGGAAGGATCCACATTTTAACGGGGGGGTGGGGGGGAGGAAGAGGCATTTCAGCTCTTCTCCGCTTCCACGCGCCTTGCTTATTAAAGCCAATTTAATTAATTTTAACACGTTGACATAATTCTATTAAAGGAGGTCGGGGAAAGGGCTTCAACTGAGGCGGTTTCGCGTGTTCTGTCATTTCGCGGGAGACAGTCATGATTAAGAAGTGTGGGAAAAAAAGTGGATTTCTTTTTTTAAAGGATGCCGCAATGCTTTCGAAACCTAAGCCGGCTGTACGCTAACCCTGGTTTAAGAGAATTAAAACTAGAGGCAACCAATGAGGTTTCTAGTCCCCAGTTTTACTTCCCCATATAATACTGCTAAGATCTAATAAATGAGAGTTTCCCCCCCCCTTCAAATCACTGTTTCCCAACCTTAACAACTTGAAGATATGTGGACTTCAACTCCCAGGATTCCACAGCCAGCCATGCTGGCTGTGGAATCCTGGGAGTTGAAGTCCACATATCTTCAAGTTGCGAAGTTGAGAAACATGACTCAAACTTTCTGGACTTCCAAGCTTCACACTGGCCAAGATGGCGTCGTCTGTTGACTTGTCCTGAATCCTGAGGCATTCTGGGAGACGGGTCCTTCTTTAACCGGACTCCCAAACCAGCTCACTGGTTCCTGGTTTCCAAATCTCACAATTCTTAAGACCCATCAGGTCATGCCTATCAAAATAAAAATGAAGCCACGGTGGCCAAAACGGATCTTCTCGTGGACTTCGGGGCCCTCAACGTTCGTCATCAAAAAGTCTTTCCCAACTGATCTAAATGAAGATCAAGATCGCGTGACGTGTTTAGCACCACTTTATAAGTAGCCTTGGTGAGGCCACAACGTGGAACACTGCATTCAGTTTTGGTCACCGCGGTGTAAAAAAAAAAAAAAAGAGGTGGACTCTCGAGAAAGAGTGCAGAGAAGAGCAACCAAGAGGATTAGGGAGACCGGAGGCTAAAACATAGGAAGAACGGTTGCAGGAATTGGATATGTCTAAGTTTAACGAAAAGAAGGACCAGGGGAGACATGATAATAGTCTTCCAATATTGGAGGGGTTCCCCCAAAGAAGAGGGAGTCAAGCTATTCTCCAAAGCCCCTGAAGGCAGGACAAGAAGCAACGGATGGAAACTCATCAAGCGGAGAAGCAACTTAGAACTAAGGAGAAACTTCCTAATAGTGAGGAACAATCAACCAGTGGAATGAAGTTGTCTCCAGAAGTTGTAAATGCTCCAACACTGGAAGTTTTTAAAAAAGATGTTGGATAACCGTTTGTCTGAAGTGGTGTAGGGTTTCCTGCCTAAGCAGGGGGTTGGACTAGAAGACCTCCAAGGTCCCTTCCCACTCCGTTATTCTATTCTAATACGCACCGCCCCTCCGTGGGGACAAACAGAAGCGAGAGGATCCCTACCTTCTTCTCGCGCTCATGTCCACTGGTTCGTCGTTGATGTTCTCCTTGCCGGATCTCCCGGAGGGCCGCCCATCAGTGTGGGGTCTCAGGTTCCCATTCAGCTTTTCCTCGTAGACTTTCAGTCCATCCTGCTTGACGGGCAGCTCGTGGGGCACCTCGATGCCCGCCAGGTCTTTCCTCTTGAGCAACGCCAACATCTTGAGGCGCTCCATGGCCTCGTGGCCCTCCATCTTCAACCTCTTGGCCAAGACATCGTCCCGCTCTTCGGCTTGGTCCAGGGTCCGCTTCAAGCGGTTGAGGCGTAGGGTATCCTCGCTCATGCGGTCCATCCTGCCCAGGGGGGTGAAAGGAGAAGGTGAAGAATGAGAAACCGCCATCTAATGAGGTGACCGAGTTGGGTAATCGAACATCTCAAGAAGAAGAGCCAGCTAAGGAAACACCAACAATCCCCTAAGTTCAGCCCCCAATTTTTATCGTCCACCATTCAAAGCCATCCATCTCTCGGTGGTTGACCCGTAATGACCAATATCTACTGTCCCAGCATCCAAGCTATCTTGGCCTAGCAAACAGTCCACCGATTGGACAAATGCTCCATCATTCTTCTTACAAGTACATTTTCAGGTTGACCAATCAAAACTAGTCATCATCTGTTTTCTTCTCGATTTACAAAACAAAACTGGAAATATTTAACCCCCAAAGGATAAAGGCTACCTAATTTCAAGTGGATTCTTGAAGGATCTTTCTTGACTGGAGAAGTCTACCTAAATAGAGAAGGGTCAAACTAGAGAAGGGGTCACATCCCTAGAGCAAGGGTCTTCCAACCTTGGCAAGTTTTAAAGACTTGTGGACTTCCACTCCCAGAATTCTTGAGCTAACACGACTGGAGGAGGAGGAATTCTGGGAGTGGAAGTCCACAAGTCTGAAAGCTGTTGAGTTTGAAGACCCCCTGCCCTAGAGTGATACTGCCATTCAACTTGGGGTGGGGGAGTAGGGAAAGGGTATTTTACAATAACACCTTCACACCTGCGGATCGGCCGGATCCGCATTGGCAGGGTTAGCGTAATACGGGTAAGCGGGGGGGGGGGGGGGGGGTTTTTTGGGTTCTTGAACGCAACTTCTGCAAAAGGTCAGTCCAGGTATCTTGTCGGAGGACTTAAGCTCCTCTATGTCTTATTTTTAAGTGTATTATTGTCTGGGGTTGGGGGGAATTTAGAGTCTGCTTTGCTTTTGTCCTGCTATCGAGAAAAGATTCCTTTTGAAATACCAAGTTTCAAGAGTTTTTACTTTCTTGAGTAAGGAGGAGAGAGGCCGGGCCTTAAAGGAGGGCTCCATTGCAGTCGTAACTTGTGGGCTACCTGTATTAAAGGTATTTCTGGTGGATAGCAGGGATCGGCAACCTTAAAACACTCAAAAGAGCCATTTGGACCCGTTTCCCACAGAAAAGAAAATGCCGGGAGCCACAAAACTGATTCTTTCCCGAGCAGCCACAAAACTAGCATATAAAGTTGAATTGAAGATTCTTGTTTTCTTCGGAAACTTATTTTTTCTTGGATTTATCCATGGTTTAGCCTACCAGGGGTTGAACAGCTCAATAAATCGCATGCCGGAGGGTGTCGCACACTGGCAGTTGTGACGCGTATTTTTGAGAGACAAGAAGCCGTAGCAGAGGGAGGGAAAGAGCCACCCGCGGCTCCAGAGCCGCGGGTTGCTGACTTCTGGTCTAGGGGGGAAAAAAGGTCAGCAGCCCTTGGACCAGGTCTGCTTGTTTCAGCAAACCAGGATTTGGAGAAAAACCCGAGGGCTCCAGGGAGGGATGTTGAACGAGACCCAGACGCCGTCAAGCCATAGCTTGGTTTTCTTCCTCTAAGGGCTGTGAGAAAAAAAAAAAAGCAGGATTTGAAAGATTCCCTGTTCTACGAAGGGAGTCGGATCAGCCCCTCAAGCCAGCTTTCCTATAGGGTCCTGGAAGTGAACCTCCCGCCCCCGCCCCCCCCCGATCTGGAAAAGACTGGGGGGTGGGGGGTGGGGTGAGAAAGCCTTTTGGAATTAAGCAAGTTAAGACATGCTCAGGAGGAGATATGCAAAATTATATGCATGCTCTTTCTTTCTCTTTCTTTCTTTTTCTTTCTTTCTTTCTTTTCTCTCTTCCACCCTCCCTCTTTCTCTTCCTTCCTTTCTCTTTCTCTTTTCTTTCTTTTCTTTCTTCCTTCCTCTTTCTCTTCCTTACTTCTCGTTCTTTCTCTTTTCTTTTTTCCTCCCTCCTTTTCTTCCTTCCTCTTTCTCTTCCTTCTCTTTCTCTCTTTTCTTCCTTTTTCCTCCCTCCCTCTTTCTCTTCCTTCCTTCTTTCTTTTTTTCCTCCCTCTTTCCTTTCTTCCTTTTTTTTCTCTATCTCTCCTTTCTTTCTTTCTTTCTTTCTTTTTTCTTTCCCTCCTTTCTCCCTTCCTTCCTCCCCTCTCTTTCCTTCTGGGGGTTTTTAAAGAAGAAACCAAACAGCCACTTATCTGAAACAGTCTAGGTTCTCTTGCTTGAGCAGAGGGGCTGGACTAGAAGACCCCAAATGGGGTGTCTCCCCCCACCCCACCCCCGAGATGGCAAGGAGCGAATTACACGTTCTTTGGGGGGTGGGGGGGGTGGGGAGGTGGCAAAGCAACAGGCTGGTTGGGGAAAGGAGCTGAAGAAGCTTCTTAGATGAAGAAGCGAAACGTCTTCAAAGAAAACGCAGGCCGGCCAGTGGACTCTTGGGGGGGGGGGGGGAGAATAAAGTACTTTTGGGACAACCAGGACTTAAGTGATGGAGGGAGACGTTTAATTATCGGGTGTTTTTTCTTCCCACCTTCCTTTCCAGCTGGTCCTGCAGACCCTTCCTTTGGGGGTACTGGGGAGGGGGCTGCCTCTTTCTCTCTCTCTCTCTCTTGCTTTCTCCTTTTCTCTCTCTCTCTCTCTCTTTCCCTTTCTCTCTCTCTCCCTCCTCCTCTCTCTTTCACTGTCTCCCCTCCTCTCTTCTCTGGCTCCCTGCCAATCCTGGATCTCTCTCTCTCTCTCTTTCTCTCCTTTTTTCTCTCTCCCTTTCTCCCTCTCTTTATTTCTCTCCCTCCCTTTCTCTCTATTTCTCTCTTCACTCCTCTCTCCCCCCTTTCTCTCTCTACTCCTCTCTTTCTCTCTGTCTCCCGTCCCCTCTCTCTCTAGCCCTCCGCCCGCTTGGATCTCTCTCTCTCTCTCTCTGTCTCTCCTTCTCTCTCTCTCTCCAACTTCTCGGCGCGTGGCTAAAAGCGGAAAAGCTGCGTGTGTGCCGGGAAAAAAAAAGATGCATTTCGAGACACAACGCACAAAATGGCTGTCTCCCAAGGCGCACAGCCGTTTCCATACAATGCTATAAAAAGGACAATTTCCTAAAAAAGGAGAACCGGGGAACTGGCAGCCAGCAGGTTATGGAGGACAGGCAGGGGGTCTAGAGAGAGAAACAGAGAGAGAGAGAGAAAGAGAGAGAGAGAAAGAGAGAGAGAGAGAGAAAGAGAGAGAGAGAAAGAGAGAGAGAGAGGAGGAGGGAAATGCCAGCAGATTAAATCAATCAGCTCCCTGGATCCAGTCCAGATCCCTGGTTTGTCCTTCTGGATGGACTCTCTCTCTCTCTCTCTTTCTTTCTCTCTCTCTTTCTCTCACAATGCCAGCGATGGCTCCTTAAGGCATGGGGGGAGGGAAGGAAGGGAGAACCTGCCCGCTCCGCAGCCAGAGATGGAAACCCCCTCCCCAAAATGCAGCTCGCCTGCTTTCGAGGGGTCTGTGATCCCCCCCCCCACCCTCCGTAGCCAGGAAAAAATAAATTTTTTTAAAAAAGCCAAGCCAAGCCTTGGATTTTAGATTGGGGGTCTCCCCGGAGGGTCGTGGGTGGGTTTTTTTTTCTTCTTCTTCTTCTTCAAAAACTTGCCGAGATGGAGGAGGAGGAGGAGGAGGAGGAGGGGGGGAGAACGCCCCCTCCCCAAAGAAATGGAAACTTGTGGAGTGCGAATCAGCTGCCTTCTTCCTCCTCTCCTCCTCCTCCTCCTCCTCCTCCTCTCCCTCCCTCGAGTTTTGGGAAGGGGGAGAATTGGGGATTTTAAGGGGAGGTCTCGAAGGACGCAGGGGGGATGGGGATCCACCTCCCCAAAAAGGGATCCCGAAGGCCCAGGGAAGGGATCTCGGAACCAGAAGGGATCTGGTTCTTCTAAAGCAGAGATCCCCAAACTTGGCAGCAACTTTGAAGACTCGGGGGGACTTCAACTCCCAGAATTCTCCCCGGCCAGCATAGCTCGCTCTCTTGCAATCCCTTCCTCTGCAATCTCTCTCCACTTTAGGAGGTTAAGAGAGAGAGAGAGAAAAAAAAGAAACAGACACGGCTGGCTGGGGAATTCTGGGAGTTGAAGTCCCCGAGTCTTAAAAGTTGCTGCCAAGTTTGGGAAGGACTGTTCTAAAGGGCCCGAAATTATTACGGCTGGTCCGAAATTAGCACCGTTTCCAGCAGAATCTGAAGCCCAAAATGCGAAGTGAAAAAGGCCTGTTTGCTTCGACAGGCGGTCCTCGACTTACAACGGTTCGCTTTAGTGGCCGTCCAGGGTTACGACGGCACTGGGGGGGGGGGGGAGAAAGCAACGGACGACTGGTTTTCCCTTCCACCTCTTATCTTTCCAGCATCCCCAGGGCAACTGGCTTGTATTTATGACGGTCGCAGCGTTCCAACTTCACAAATGCAAGGATTCACTGAACAACAAGCGGCGAGAAACGCCGTAAAACCGGGACAAACGCACCGAATGCGTTTCACTTAACAACACCAATCTGGCGCTCCGTTTTTTATATATATATATATATATATATATATATATATATATTGCATATTATATATTATGCATATTATTACATGCATGCAATTCAGGAGCCTGAACCCCAAACCACTCAACTTATAATTTTAGAGAACCCCGCAAAGCAAAATCTTGCAAAAACGTAAAGAAGAAAATCCGCCAGCGGAGCGAATATAAACTCCCGGCGTTCCTTGCGTGACTTTTCATCCAAGTTTCTCTGACCCAAATCTCCAGATCTGAGAGAGAGAGAGAGAGAAAAAGAGAGAGAGAGAAAGAGAGAGAAAAGACTTTTTCTTAGGGGCGCCGGGGTGCAGATTCTGCTCAATTTTCTCTAAACAAAAATTTCTCTAAACGAAAAAAAAAAATACATTCCACGAACGAGCAGGGAAATTTTTTACAGAGCTTTTTGCAAAGACCGCGGTTGAAATTACAAATTATGACATGAAGGGCTAAGACGACGAAAGTTTGCCAAGTTTCGGAGCCTGAATTACATTCGGA